TTTTCTACAGCAGTAAATTGAATATGCCATGGTTGGGGAGGCCTTCTCAAGTACAGACTGTGTACTTTCTGATAAGCCTAAAATCCTGGCAGTGAAGACAAGTGAATTGAAATCTAGATTTTCCTCATGTGGAGGTTGGTAATACAGGAGAAGTTGGAAGATTCGAAGATTTTTTTTCCCCATTGCATTCTAGCTTCTTACTAAAATGGTCAAGGCTCACAGTAGCTCAGAAGGTCTTGTTCTTAAGCCACAAGTCCCTAGTTTTGTCCAAAAGATGAGTCATTTACAGAATCAAGCATCAGTTACACTAGCACAGTGTGAGAGCTCTACTAAGATTTTTCTTTTTGTGGTGCTGGGGCTTGACCCCAGGGCCTTGTACATGCTCAGTACACACTCTACCACTGAACCCCACCAGGTATTTTTTTCTCTAGTCACCTTGGTCAATATGATCTGGATTATTGGATAAATTGCTAGAAAATAACCATGTTATTTGTCTCACCTCCTGCCACCAACTTACATGATCAAAATGGCTGGCTAAGGTTTTGGTTTCATTCTGATTGTTTGGGATTTTGGAAGTACTTTTTACTTTTTACTTTTATGGTACTAGGGTTTGAACTCAGGACTTTGCACTTGCTATCAGGTGGTCTGCCACCTGAGCCAAGGCTCCAGCCCAGGTTGGTACTTTTAAAAATAGGATAGACCTTATCTCAACTAGAAAACAACCCTTATTCCTTCCTATTATTGCTTATACTCTCTCTTCAACAAAATTAGAAATAAGGGCAAAATAGTTTCTGCTGGGTATTGAGGGGGTGGGGTGAGAGGGAGGGGATGGAGTGGGTGGTAAGGGAGGGGGTGGGGGCAGGGGGGAGAAATGACCCAAGCGTTGTATGCACATATGAATAATAAAACAACAACAAAAAAGAGAAATAAAATAAAATAAAATAAAAATAGGATAGACCTTCAAAAGGAACATGGGAATAAGAAGTGAAACGGTCCTGGAGGCGCTTACGAAGGAAGCAACAGCTTTATTCACCAAGCGTGAGTTCGACAGTGACGCAAGGTGGCAAGGTGGGGCACAGTGCTGCTCACAGCAGGAGCATGGAGCAGGTTGGGAACTGTGCAGCTCAGTGACACGGAGCACAGCAGGTCACTCCTCCTCTGCACACAAGCATGAGGTACTCAGGTGCGGACACACACACCCACTCAACTTCACAGAGAACACAGCACAGCTTTTCACAAATTCTTCTAAACATTTACTTTCATATTTCTGAAAGGGGAAGGAGGGCAGGAAGAGCTGGATGCCTTTCACCAGTTGAAAATAACTCCATGAACCTAGCTTAAAATGAAGAACCCTAAAAGCTTCAAGGCAGAGCCACCAGCAACTTATGGTAACTACTCCCATTTTTTATGGGACAAGTCTGTACACAGAACCCAAAGTGAACATCAGTTTTGTGGATAACTGTCTCTTCTTCCATAAGACAAAGAAACATCTGCATATGTAATCCGGAAGTGGCTCACAACTTTTGTGAATGTCAAGGTACATGGTAGCATCTCCTCTGCCTTCAGTCAATGGGCTCAGGACATTATTCGTGGGAACGAAGTGTGAGAGATACTTTGGGAAGAATTTCATTTAGTGACACCAACCATCAGTCAATCACTAAGCTGCAGAAAGTACTAGGTTTGTTTGATTTTATTGTGTATATATTCACTGTTTAGAAAGTTTCAGCTTGAGTTGACCGCCACCCCCTCTCATGAATTTGTCATAAATTACACCTGCCCAAATGAAAACATAACAATCCATATGCAAAGTGTAACTGTCACCATCTCCCTCTGCTTCCTGGGCAGAAAATGGAAAGACAGTGACTTAAAATAAGTAAAGCTACCTTTTTCTTCCATTACAGCATAGGTGGGCAGTTTCCTTACTATATACTATTACTGTAAGATGCTCTCATTGCAAATTTCAAGCCCTAAATTGCTTACTTTATTCTGGATAGAAAGTTCCTCAAAAGGGAGCATTAAAGAGCAAGCTTAAGGGCATATAAACAAACAGTTCTTCCAAAAAATAATTTTTAAAATCAAATAAAATCAAGGCTGGCACAGGAAGTAGAGATTAGTTACCAGAAATACAAAGTGATTTATAAATCTGAGTTTGCTTCAGAGAACACAGAAGGTTATTAGTCAGAGTTCATTTTCCTTCCACTGTCTCCCATGATAGTCAGACACAGGACTCTGAGTGTGCAAGGTCTGGAGCCATGCCTGCCCCTGGAACATGCCCCACAGTGTTCGCTGGAAATACTTTTTCAAAAGACTGACCTAGTCAAAAGTGGTTAATTTGAATCCTTTTAAACTTGAAAAAGTATATATATTTTACAGCATCATCTGAGAAGCAATTCTTAGAAAATGATATTTGCTTCAAAGTGTAAAGAAATTAGGTGAGAATTTCAGAAACATTACTAGCAGGACCTCTCCAAGTTAGAGGTGATAGACACCAGACTGAGATGGAGAGGCTGAGGGCTGGCATTGGAAACTGCTCCAGCCAGTGCCTTTGAAGAGCAACAGAATCAGCATTGGTGGGGACAAGAGGTCAGGGAAGTTAGAAAACTACCCCCAATGCTTTGCACCTATTACCCATGACCTCTAGTTTTTCTCTTTGAAGTTTCAGAGAAGAGGCAGTTTATATTTAATTATCGTAGGAATCATATTAAATTTTTTTCCTAATGAACTCCAAACCAAACTGGAGATACATAGCTAACTGTACAGAGTTCCAAATGCTCTTCACGGCTTCTAATAAATTATACAGGAAGACAACATGATAGCCTGGACTATCTTGGAGAAATTTTAAAGGAAGCACTGACTTTCACACGGTCACAGAAGCCTCTTCCACTTTATGCAATCAGTATGTGATCACAAGTAAGTCAAATGCTAGAAAATATAGCCCTTAATACAGGCACCAGCCTGTCATGTATAGAATTCTTTCTCTAACGTGAATGAGCCATTTTAGTTTGACTGTGTTAACAATTGAATTTTTTTCTTTGCTGTATAGCATGGGGTGAAGCAAAGAATTCACATCTCTTGTGCCGTGGGCTGGACATTTCAAGGTTAAGCTGAGCCTCTTTAACATAGATGGGGCATTGTAGCCCACACACTGGATTTGCCAGTTAGAAACAGATTGTCCCCAACCCATTCTTCCAGATAGAACCTTCTGCCCAGGAATGGAACAGGGATACCCGCTCTGCACGACAGTTTCCAGAGGTCCCTCCCCAGCGCACACAGGATGCTACTGATTTTTCTACAATTCATTTTTGCATGGGGCAGTTTAAATGAACTAGTAGGCTTAATATGGAAAGTTTTTTTTTCCCCCAAGTTGGATGCAGAACTGAGTTCAAAAGATACAAGAAAAGCAGGGTTTCATTACTGGGAGAATTTAGCATTCAGTTTTTCAACTATCATTACAGTCTTAGGCAGACCCTTTAACTCTGTCACATATAGAGAAGGGCTGTCCCTTCTTTCAGTCTAACATTCCTATTCCACTTTATGGAGACCAACAGAGGAATTTTAGCAAAACCACCTGTGCCCACGTTTTCCAAATAGCTTGATTTTTTTCCTTCCCTGGCATTTGATCTGCATTTTTTGTGGGTGATAACTCATGAAAAACACAGGGGTGGTTATTATCTCCATAATGAAAACAATTTCTCCAACAGCTGAGTGCTGGGACTTTCTGGCCACCATTGTCACTGAGTATGGTAGGGAAACACTGAGAATGTGCCATTGTCCCCACCCTTCCACTCTGCCGGGGGCAAAGCAAGGACTCAGACACACAGACATTGGGCTGAGGTGGCCAGTGCAGAGAGGATGGGACAGGAGAAAACATGAAGCAAGAATCAATTGAGACCTGAAGGGAAATCTGCAAGTTGCAGTCTGCCTTCAACAGGAGCCAGTCTCATCTGCTCAGGCCACCTGGTCAGAGCCCTTTGCTACATGTGTCAGTAGATCCAACACACACACATAGGAATCTGTGAGCAGTTCTCAAACTTAGATTTCTTTGCAGTGCACAGGAGAATACTATAGCAGCCTCTGCAGCACTAACAGACAGAAGGGGCCCACAGGTCTGGAACATGGGCTCATAAACTGTGCTGCTGCCTTCTACCAGTGGTGTCATGTGGACAGGAATTCATAGTCCTACTCTTAATCCTTAAGGCAGCAGGAAGAATTTCTGAGCCTTCATTCCAGTGGCATTTGCAAGTGAATTCCAATGCTTTCCCCTTTGGCTTTAATACAGAGTTTAAATTCATAAGCAGAGCCCCAACGCATGAGGACAAATGTGACATAACCTCCTGTCTGTGGAGTTGAAGAGTCTCCCTCGTGGAACTCATGATGTGGACTTAGTACATTTTAGTGAGAAGCTAGACTCCAATTTGAATTGAGAGTTGCAGAGTGTAAGGATTCTGCTGAGATGCTCTGAGCCCCAAACTGCCTTGATCCCTCCTCTGCATTCTTTAGTCTGAGCCTGCTGTAAGTTTGTGAGCTCTGTCAGTACATGGAGTATGCTGGTTTCTAAGCACCGACACCCTCCCATGAAGGAAGTGATGCTGGGGACATAGCTTGGCCTTACTCTCAATCTTTGAGTCACATGCAATTGTGCAAATGTCCCTTAGAAGCTGTACAACCGTGTGACAAATATTCAAGCAGAAATCAAAAAGCACATGCAGACTCACAAAACTGCCTGGGTGAGTTACACACACACACACACACACACACACACAAAGTCAACAGTGCTAGGCAAGAAGGACAGCTGAAAAGGCCAAATTAAATCTGTTTGAAGCAGTCTACTTTGAAAGTGCAGAGATTTAAAAGAGAAAAACATGCCTTTTCTTACACTGTTACTTAAAAGACCTTAAAAAACAAAATTGCCATGGGGTTGATTTGATTCACAGGATGCAGAACAGAAAGCAGGAATACTGAGTGGATGAACTTGCACTGGTGACAGGACAGGACATGGATTTTTTTTTTTTTTTTTTTTTGCTAAGAGTAATATGACCCATGGGCACAAATCACCTAGCAGCATGCAGGTGGGCCAATCTGGAGACAATTTTTGCCTTTCCTTTCTTTGCAAAGGTGGAGCCCAAGCCAGCTCCTGTCTTGGTGGGGAGGTAGAGTTTAGCACACTATCTGAAGCAGAAAGAGAGTTCAGGGAGGATTGCCTTCATTCCTTTTCCTTTCTCTTATTAAAAAAAAATAATGCTAGTGACCTGCCAACCAGGTCTCAGCAAACCGGCAAGAAAAAGGAGCTTGTGAAAAATCATTTTTGCTGACATTCAGCTACTTGATCAGAGCTGCCTGGTTCTGATGCTATGAGAGCACAGGCACTGCTGCAGGCTACCAACAAGGAAAGACATGTGAAAGGTTGCTGCTACCACACAGATGTGTCCCCAGCCTCTTCCTTTTTCACCACAGTGCTACTTAGTAAACATGTCCATACTGCGGAATCAGCACAACTGTCCCATGAGGCGTGTTAGGGCACTTGCTGGCTCTTATTGGTACGGTCAGTGTTATGGTAGACGACAGTTAAAGGAAAAGAAAGAAGCTCCTGTTGTGGACACAAGGTCGTGTGAAAAGGTCATGTGTGGACGTTACTGCTGAGTTTGGGAACATGGCAATTTCTACCCCATTGCTTCTTGGCAAGTGTTAACTGTTAGTTGGCCCAATATTTGGCTCCTGGGTACTGTGACCAGACTTTTCCCTTGCTGTTGTTGCTGAGGGATGGCAGCTTGTAAACTCTCCAATCAAGTTTGAACCTTAATACAACATCCCATGCATCGTCGCCAGCCACTGCCAGTCCTTTATCTAATTGCCATCCTTGTGTGGGACTTTCAGAAGAGTTTTGCTCTTTTCTTCATGTCATTGCGTCTCCAAAGAGGTAACTTGTCAAACTCCTGTATGGACATCCCAAAGATTTCCCGAAACACCTCTGGGGCTAAGTGGCGCTGGGAAGAGAGAGCAGAGCAGTGGTCAGTCCTGATGGCCACACAGATGACCTTGAGAATTCCTCTCAAGTTTATGAATACATTCAGCCTTCCATATCCATGGGTTCTCCTCAGATACAACCAATTACAGATCAAAAATATTCTAAAAATATTTGTCTGTACTGAACATGTATAGACTTTTTTTCCTTTTAATTTCCCTTAAACTATATAGCATATCAACTATTTGTATAGTATTTGGGTTGCATTAGGAATACAATTAATCAAGAGATGATTAAAGGTATTCAGAAAGATATGAGATGGTAATATGCAAACACTATACTACTTTATATAAAGGACTTTGGTATCCACAGATTGTGGTATTTATGGGGAGACCCTGGAATCAAGATACTGCTAAACACTGTTATTTTATATATTTATTTATTTGCAAAACTGGGGATTGAACTTGTCACTGTCATTATTCTGAAGAGCAAGTCAGAATGATGGAGAGAGGATTACCGCTGATGCTTGTTACTAGGCATAACCAGATGAGGTGCCCTCCCCCCAGCTCAAAGAGCAGGTAGAGTATTAATAATACTGGCACAATTCAGTGTTTTAACAGCACTGAACAGTGATGGGGAATAGGAGGGTGATTTATGGAAGTGGCTCTACTTCAGGATGTGGAGAAGATGCAGAGAAAATGGGTCATAATAATGGAAAAGTCAATGAGAAAGAGACTTCCAGAGCTGTCCCAGGAAGCCTAGTCTACCTGAGAGACCACCTATCTGTCATGACTCCTAGAAAGGTCCCCTTAGGACACTGGGGCCAGTATTTTCTGAGCCATCCTGACCTCTTCTAAAAAGACACTGCCTTTTGTCAGGAAACAGTAATGATTCTTCCTGAGACTGGCAGCCAGCCGTTTTCTTAATTAAAATCATTCAGATGGAAAAATACAAAGATCAGTCCTCCATGTCTAGGGAAGCCTTGAATATGTGTACCCAGATAACCCTCCAACTAGGAATGTGGAAACAGCCAAGAAAGAAGCTCACCCAGTATAAACCACCTTCTTTAGAGCTCCTTCCCCTCTCTCAATGAACTCAATCCAGGCTTAGAGGAAGATTAAGGACCTGGACTATCTGAGGATGGATGGATAGAAGCTCCCATTCTGCATCTCCAGCCCTAATTATGGCCACATCCAATTCCCCAAAACTGACAAAAAATATATTGTGTCTCTGAAGCCATTCTTTTAAATATTACCAGGCATTTGAAATGCTGATGTAGGTGTAAGTTTAGGTGTAGATACATTTAAGTTCAAGTGCATGCACCTGTACCATTGGCCTCCCTGAAGCCAGGTAATGCCTGTTTTTGGCAGGGTAGGTGTGAATTCCTCCTGCTTTCTCACCCTGTCGTACACTTTTGAGGAGAGAAGCCATGTCTTGTTTAATGCTACACTCCAAGTAGCTAAGAGAGTGCTCAGCACACAGCAGGAGCAACGAATGAACGCTAACCACCTAGTTTCTCATGGCTTTATCTCAGAGGTCTTTTGAGATTTTAGTTACTTCTTAGCTCTACCTACAATGTGAGCTCGATCTTGATTACTTTTATTCTTACTGGAGAAATTAAACATTTCTTAGGGGAAAAGGTGGTGGGTATGTGTGCAGTAGGGTGTGGATTTTTGGGTTGTTCTGTTTTACCTCCAGCCGGGTTCTGTCCACATCTCTCAGTATTTTGTTACGCCCTCTGTTGGTCACCATGAGCATTTCATATGGAAATATCTGAGCAGGAAAGAAAATGCATCTTTTAGAACACCACTGTCTGTTTTGTTAATCAGCATAATCTATACTAAAATTTAGTACTTCTAAAAAGAGCTTCTAAGAGATTATCACAAGAGCATCTGAGTATAATGTGTTCTTCCCTCAAAACCAGCAAAGCCTGATTCTTACGCCTGGGTCTCATACACCACTATGCCCTGGGAGTGCTTTGCTAAATGCAAGAATAAATAGATGGTGAATGGAGGTTAAAAGTTGAAAGAGAAATGAACTTGCAGGAACACATGTTGTCTCTTATAGAATGCTGCCATGTGGCAGGAACTTTGTGCAGGGTTACACAGTCTCAACCATGACTGGCTTGTGAATTCACACAGACAGGCAGGCCCAGAGCAGGTGCTGGCAACTGGCATACTGAAATAAACTCCCAGTTATGGACACCAAGGAGCATAAGCCATTGGACACCTTTGGAGGTACGAAATGTTCTGGAGCTATGCTTACCAGCCGTGTCAGTTTGCCCAGGGCAAAGGAAGTTCTTGAGATACAAGATCTTGAGATAATTTGGGGACTAAAATCCTGGCTAACTGGGCCAGGTGGTCCCTATCTGGAGATAGGTGCACCCTATCTGGAGCAGCCAGCAGTTGTTCCACTCAGCACTGGCCATGCCTTCAATGCATGTGGCAGGGGCCACAGTCACACGTAGGTCATAGGAAGAGAGGTGCTGGTACAGACTGCCATGGGTAGTAAGGGCTTAATCCCGTGGACTTAATGTGGCAGGAACTTTATGACATGGCTTGCCTGGATGTACTGGCCTTCTCTCTGAGCTTGGTGAAAAGACAGGAAGCCAGGTCTTTAAGGGTCATTCAGTCCCTGCATGAGAGGAAAGAGAAGGCTGCACTTGCCTTTGGTTCTAGCATGTTCGGCATGGACACGCCTCGGTCCATCCTCATTGCTGGCATGTGACCATCTGGGAGGGTCTGCAACAGAAATGCCAGTTTAGGGATGAGCACAAAATAGCAGGGGGTGCGAAGGAGGATATGCTGTAGGCTCCCAGACTTCCCTGTGGGGTCTCAGGCCCTCATCACAATTTGGTAGCTATAGCCAGCTCATTAACAAGTCTTTTTCAGAATGAGATCCTTAGTGAATATGAGGAAGATTGCTCTTTTCTAATAAGGTGGGGAGAAGATCCTGGCCTGATAACTATGGACTGATTGCTGAATTTAGGCTGGATGTATGAAAGTATACAGTAGGAGGGCCGGGGCATGGCTCAAGTAGTAGAGCGCTTGCCTACCAGCAGGAGGTCCCGAGTTCAAACCCCAGAACTACTCAAAATGCCAAATCTATTATTTCTGTTTTATTTTTGATCTTAGTTTTCTTTGTACTTTCCCCCCCTGTTTGCTCACTCCCCATCATGGTTTTACAAGATTTTAATTCTAGAGACAGGGATGGAGCTCAGTAGTAGAGTACTTGCCTAGCATGCACAAGGCTCTGGGTTTAACACCCGGCCCTAAAAAAACATATTAAGTTATAGAGGAAAAAATGGTATGAGAGCAAAGTGTTCTTTCTACTGGCCAGGGCCTGAGTTTGTTTTCATTTGGGAACAGACAAGGAAAGGGAAGAATAAAGTACCGAGAAGTTAAAATTAAAAGGAAAGAAAACTGCATATTGGTAGACCATCCTTGCTGGTTCACTGTGGCCATTGACAGGGCTGTCCCAAGCCAGAGCAGAAGTCCTCTCACACTTGGCCTTGTTTGTGCCATATCCTCAAGGCCCGCAGGGACAGCTTGACCAGCCTGAGCACTGGGTGTGCTTGCTTTTAATGGCTACGGAGCAGTGATTAGACAGATTGACCAGATTGGGCCTCTTCTCAACAGAAATCCTTCCCCTGGAGCAAGCAGCCTCGATGAAAGCCACTGTTCTGTTTGCTGGTGTGGCCAGTTCAAGAGAGACAAAGTGTCCATACCTGGTAGTCTGAAAAGGAAAGGAAAAGAAAATATCATAAGGTAGAGACTATGAGAAAGCATAGGACCATTGATGGCGACTATGTTCTACCACAGTTCCCAATAAACTGCATCCTCTCCCTGCCCCCAGTCTGTGTACACCCCGCACTATGGGCCTCCATAGAGTCAGGAATGCCTGCTCAGCTTTTAAATTTTTATTTATTTGAGGCAGGGTCTCACTCTGTTACCAAGTCTAGCCTTGAACTTGAGATCCTCTTGCCAGTAGCCTTCCAAGTAGCTGGGACTATGGACCTGCACCACCATGCCCAGCTCCAGCTTTAGGTATTGGTTAAAACAACCCTTTACCCTCTTGCTTCTCCATATGCATTTTGAGAATGGGGTCATGGCTTGCTAATTGCTGTACCTCCAGGTATCTAATGAAGAGCTCAGCATACAGTAGAAGCAGTGAATGAATGTTTACAAAACTCCCTTTATTTCATTAGCCATCCCTAAAGATTGTAGTAATGACTGTTAGCCCTCAGAAGATAGCTGGGATCCCACTGTAGGGTGCCACACAGCAAAAACTGCCGGTGCACTTGTGATTACACAGCCTCCCATGAACCTCGACCACAACAGAGGCTGGAACCATGATCTGCCTGGCTGTGGGAGCCTCACCTCGTACTCCGCCGCTCACATCCCCGTAGCTGTTGTACTGAGCAAAGTCTGTGGAAACAGGCTGAAAGAGGAAAAACATGTTATTAGAAAATCTCCCCAGTGAACAGGTAGAGAGGACGTAAGAAATCCTTCCAGGCTAAATTCCTGGACCCTTGTGTTCTTTCTTTTCTGGGTGTTCTTCCTCATTATGAAACATCTGTTTTTGTAATGCATCTATGACACTAGACTAGCAGTCTCTTGGTAAGCAGGGATCTCTTGCTGATAAGTAAAAATACATTTCCCTACATGGTTACATAGTTACATTTGTTCTATGCTTTGTGGGGAAGTCGCTATAATCTTTCTTTTTTATAGAAGAGGTAATGGCTCAAGTAATTACTTTTTGCTTCATTGTAGAAATATTTGCCACACCATTGCTCAGTCTAGTTTCTTGTTAAGCTTATCCAGACCACTGATTTATTTAAAGTCAATTTCTTCTTCTGGCAATAGAAATATTTCACTTTGCCTGTAACTCAAAGCCATTTACCAGGTGATCATAGAGATGACAGTTTTCATTATATATCCAAATGAGACCGAGGAGTCAGATTATTCAGACAGTAACTCAGGACTTCAGGTAGGACTGAGGAGGGAAAGTATAGAAACAGTGGATTGAGGAGAGATCTTACCCGGTGAAGTCCATTTCTTCCATAGCCAGGGAGAGATGAGGTTTTAGAAGATGGAGCATGTGAAGCTAAATGAGAAAAAGGTAAAAAAGCATATTTTAGGGAACCAGAAGTCTAATTCTTTAATGAAACTGGCAGTTTGTCTTCCTTTGCACAATAGATTAAGAAAAAAAAAAAAAAGAAAGAAAGAAAATTGAATCATTGCTAGGTGCAGTGGTTTACACCTGAAATCCCAGCTACTTGGGAGGTGGAGATTGGGAGGATCATGGTTCAAGGCAAAAAGGCTAGTGAGACCCCCATTTCAGCAACCAAGTGTGGTGGTGCAAGCCTGTGATTCCAGCTACGGGGAGGGTTAGAGAGGAGGATTTCACTCCAGGCCAGCCCTGGCATAAAGTGAGACCCTACTTGAAAACTAACTAAAGCAAAAAAAATGGCTGGGGCATGACTCGAGTGTAGAGCACCTGCCTAGCAAGTGTGAGGTCCTGAGTTCAAACCCCAGTACTGCTAAGAAACGAAAGAAAGAAGGAAGGAAGGGAAGGAGGAAGGGAGAGAGGGAGGAAGCGCAGGAAGGGAGGAAAGAAAAAGGAATTCAGGTCACACTGGGCCCCAATGATTATGAAGTGCCACCACATTTGGGGGACACGGGAATGGTATCATAAGCATGATATTATTGGGGAAGGATAGGAAGAAGGACAGCAGCCCAGCTGAGTCTGAAGCTAGCTGTGCTTCTCACATCTAAGTACTCAGCAGGCTTTATCTCTGAATCCTCAACACAATCCAATTAAGACACTCATTATCTCCATTTTACAGAAAAAGAAATAGGAGCTAAAAGAAGTCAAGTATTCTGCCAAAAGCTCACTCAGCTCAAACAGCTGAGCAAGGATTTGGACCCAGGGATAGATGAATGCTTGCACCCTAGGGCCTAGTTGATATGGCAAGAGCACTTGACAAGGAAGACAACCAATCAAATTCTGCTGCCCAGCAATAGCTGGGCTTCTGGGGGCCTGGATCCTTTACCTTATATGTTAACAGCAGGAAAGCCTGACAGGCTGTTGAGCTTGGAGTGAGCAGACCTAGGCTTGAATTCTGGCTTTGCAACTTAATATCTCTATATCTTTGATCAGGGCATTTAAATTTTTTGAAGTGTTAATTTCTAGATCTATGTAGGTACAGTGTTACACATTCATATAGAACAGATCTCAGAATAAGGAACTCTGAAGATTCGTAAAAGCCATGCTAAGTGATCCTGCCTGCTGGCAACAGTCCAGGCAGGTTCATCGCAGGCAAGTGGCTGACTCTCAGCTCATGGAAGGCAGGGGTTTGCTGCTCACCTGAGTGGATGGGAGAATCATAGCGACTGGCTGACAGGGATGACCTTTCCCGGCTCTCCTTCTCCATCTCTTCCTTCAGTATCAACTGCCCCAGGCCTGAGTTAAGCTATTCACAGAAAAAAGAAAAAGATGAAAGCAAAATCTGCAATTGCTTTCATGGAACTATAGTTTCTTTTCAGACCCAGGGCCTGGTGGGACAGGTTTGGACCCTAAACCCCTATTTGGCTTTTCCAGTGGTGACAATCCCTTTCCTAAGGCAGGCTCCATGTCAGAAGGATGTTCTTCTTCCGCTCTCTCCTCAAATGCCATCAGAAGACCTCAGAATGCACATATGAATATGGGAAGGGGAGGTTGGGGATGACATTTTTTAAAAAAAGAAATTGTACTGATTTGTTTAAAAGCAAAACAAAAAAGGAATATATATCCTTTGCACATATTTAGAAAATCCAGAAAGAGCCACAATCCACCACTTAGAGATAACACCATTTGCATTTTGACTTACATCTATCTATACATATTTCTGTACACATTTCACACAAAACTAGGATTGTACTTTTCTCTCATATAAGTAATGCCACGTACAGTTCTCATATCTCTGGAAAACATTTCAAGGGATTCACCAACTCCCTACAGGTGAAAGAGTTTAGAGCTGGCTATTCCAAGTTGCTTCAGGTCCATGCTAGAGACCGGAGGACATGCTGGGGGCCTCTTAGTGGCAGTCCTCTGGATCCTTTTTTGTTCCCTAGTCCAGATAAACATACAAGGTTCTCTGAGAACTGAGGAAAGACTTAAGTGGAGAAATGCTCCATCCCAAGGGAATTCCTCCAGCAGAGTCCACATGCCTGGGGTACATGGCATTTTGGTCTTCATGACTCCTTCTTATTGTTTCCATACACTAGCCTGCACGCCTGCCCCACACCATCACACTCCAGTTCTTTGCAAAAGCCCAACCATTCTAGGTCCCTCTGACTTCCAGCCTCAATGTCATCTCCTCTTATTCTCGTGAACATGCCTTATTCTAGTGACTATGTGTCTGGCATGTCTTGAATATTGGACTACAACCCCCTTCTTGGTTCTCTTGGTAGTATGCATAGAGTGATTTTAAAAAAATTGATGTTATGGAATGGAAGACTGTAGCAAGGTAGTTTAAGGACAAACCTTCATCAATTGCTCTTCTTGAAGCTGCCGGCGTCTCAGGAATTCCTCCTCATCGTCCTCTCTGCCACTAGATCTGCGCCTCATGTCAGTTCCTAATTCCACAGCAAAGACAACTTCTCACATCAAACCCATGGCAAGGGGATCTTAATGGACTAGTCCACCTGGGTTCAGTTCGTTAGGCTGGCAAGGTTAGCACTAGTCTTTAACAAAGGTTTAAGTGAATGACACAAGGGGAAAAAGTGCCCACCACCAACTCAGTAACCACAGGCTGGTTTCTCAAGGATAATGGACTCCATTAATAAGCCAGTTCAATGTGTAATACAAGCAAGGCCTGAATTTGGACCTTCCAACACCTGTCTGGTCAATTAGAACTGGGTTTGCCATAGTAATTGGGTCTTAACACAGGTCAGGGCTCACTGTAGTGTGTGTGTTGTTGGGGGTGGGGGGGTCTCTCCAGTTATCCTGAGGTCAGTTTTCAAATAGAGAGGAATTCAAATCCATCTCTACAAAGTGGCTAAATTTCTCTCTCTCTTATTACAAGTTTTAAAATCTTGTAGTTTTTCTCTTTCTGGATATTTAGACTTTTTATAATACTACCACTCTATCTTCTATCCTTAGTAAATTCATTAAAAAGCATGCTTACTACATTTCTTTCAAGGAATTGGTCTCTAATTTCCCTTGTCTCATACTTTGAAAAACAGTCACAAAAGAATATTATTCTAATAGGTAAATAAAAGCATGATTGGTACAGCTAAAAAGTTACTTTGGAACAATATAACAAATTGTGTATAATTTTTTAAGCTTCCTGGAAAAGGGGAGACCGGAAATGAAAAGGAGGAATCTGGATAGTTGGGAGCTTAAGATAATTATTGTTTTTCTTAAATTGCTTGGATTAATCTGGCTGTGGGAGGAAACAGGAAAGTTTGCTAATCTAATCAAAATAAACTTTAATAGTCTTAATTTTCATCATTTTGACTAATGGATCAGGCATTTTCCTCATTTTGGAACTCAAAGGAACTTTAAACTATTTAGTTGCAATAATGAATATTTAATTCTCCCTCTCCCCAAATATTTAGCTACTCTCAGATCCTCACTAAGCAACATAACTGAAGGAGGAAACTCAAAGGCCCTATGACTTCCTAAAGAGCAGATTCTTGAAAGTTCTTAAAATTGTCAATGTGAATTTTCTCTCTTTAGTTCATACTAATAAAAACCAATAGACCCAAGTTTGCAAGAATTAGCTAAATCTCACCAACCTAAAAGAACACTTATGAATAATGAGCTGAGTAGGTTTCCCTTTAACTGTTTCTATAAATATTACTTGCCTTAAAATCTGCTTACATTGCCTGTAAAAGTTATTCCAGCGATAATTTGATAAAAAATGGCCTGATGAAGAAGATCAGAAAATTTTTGGAAAATTGAAGGCCTTTTTGTCAGTAGAAATGTGATAAGATCATCATATGCTCATAAGGCTGGCTCACTAAAATTTCAGTATTGGCTTCTGAGTTGTTAATACCCCTCTGTAGGCTGAGTGACTATACTACTGACAAAACAGTGAAGACAGACACAAGCATAAAGCAAAGAATGAAACAGCCCCAATGTGACAATTTAGCACAGAATTCATGGAAATGACAGATGTGAAAAATCACTAACTTCACACAAGTGATATTTCAGAACACCTACTCCTCTGTAACAGCCCTTAGTAATGGAAAAGGCAGTAAGGGCAACATAAGTGAAAGTGCTTCGATGTTAAGATTGTTTGTTAAGAGAATGAATTGTAAAGACAACCCAGATATGTCTAAAACAAATTTAACTGGAAAAAGTCGCGCTTCAATGGACATAAGGTCATTTCACCCATTAGACTAATTGTAGCTATTACTACAGTAATGCTCTTGACCAGAGGCTGACTGAAAGGTGTTCAAAAGAGTTGCTGATTTTATAGTGATAAATCTGAGAGTCCATGCAAACCATCTGTTTTAGACACTTGTGGACCTCAGCGAGATGGGTAGAGCAAGCTCTGGTAGATGTGGGTTTTGTAACTTTTTAAGCATTCTCCACAAGTTATTATCATATTAGTTCTTTTTCACTAGTCTACCCCTTGGTCATACTTTTCATAAAAGTCTTTATGATAGGACACATTTTCTTACATGTTTCTAAGCATTTCATTTTGAGTTTTCCTTGCAATTTCTCCATTTGACTTAGCTGCGTGGGTTGCATACCTACGGCGGCAAGTGAGGGGGGACCAGGCCAATGGTCCATCTCAATCTTTGGTATCTCGTTGGGGTCTGGTGCCTGGGCTGCTGGGAACTTGGAAAACTTGATGATATCTTCAGAAGACTTGCTCTGGGCTGCCAAGGCAGCTGCATCTGGATGGGAACCAGGGTTGCTTAGCTATTGGTCTATAAGGCAGTGGTGGCACCACCACACACAGTTTTCTTGTTCTCTAGCAAAAATTTCAATTCTAGAAGGTTCTGTGTATCATGATGAATAACTACCCAGTAACTTGGTGGTGACAACTCATTTTCTTGACTTTATGTCAGAAGCAAAGTTTCATTCTACATCTGTTCTACATCAGAAAAACCTTGTCATAGAGTGGTGCTGTCCAACGATAGCCCTGTGTTTCTATTTAAGTGCAAATAAATGAAATTAAATAAAACCAAAAAATTAACAAACTTAAAATTCAGTTCCTCTGTTGCACTAACTGTATTTTCAATGTTCAGTAGCTCCATGTGATTAGTGACTACTGTACTGGACAGTACAGATGGAGAATTATTTCCACCATCAGAGAAAGTTCCATTCTTCATTGGTAAATACACTTGGAATGAGAAAACCTGAATTAGAAATTTGAGTAATTTAAAATTTGAATAATTCAAAATTTGAATTATAAAATTGAAATTAAAGAACTGAGTTAAAAGCATGTTAATGTCACTTGCTGTAGTTATTAATCTTTAGAGGGCTGGCTGGGCTGGCTTTGTAGCTTTGGGCCAGAAGGCACAGATATATTGGTCCAGTTCATCTTAGTCCTTATGAACTATATGTGGGTCTTTGTGCCTTAGGAGAATGGAAATGGGGAAATGTACTTCTCATTTGCAGGAATTTAGCTCCGTGCTTTATGTTTGCAGTCCTCACTCACTGCTTTGTTCAAGGGTCCACACTCTGGGTGAGCCAATCAAGTTTAAATCAACAAAAGCCACACTAGCAGCAGCATTAGTTCAGCGTTCTTAGGCAGCTTTGCTTAGAGGACTCACTGACTTAGCTCCCCAAATCGAATAATGGAGTGGAGTGAAATAAACCAGGTTAAACAGCCAATCCCTGATTGTGGCTAATTTTGCAAACTGCCCTGGGATGTTACTCAACATTTCAAAATATAATTATAAAGCCTTAAAAAAAAATTTTTTTTTTTGCTCCTTGGATCACATATTTTAAAATTTGAAAATAACCTTTTGAATCTTCAGCTCCAAGTAAACCATTCTTTTGGTAATCTTCTGGGTTTCAATTTGCTTATATGACTTGATGCACTGAATAATAAGGGGCAAAATCTTGGTTGGACAGATTCTCAGAATCTCTAACCCCATGAGAAAAAAAGCTCAGATTAGGAAACACTGTTACTAAATCCTCTTCCCAGAGATGACAAAACATGTAACTATAGGAAAGACTGAAGGTCTGCACCCCACCACCACCCAAAAAAAAGCCATTTAATTTAAATCTAGCACTTTCCAAAGGCATGAGGAGCAGTTTGGGGCGTGACTTTCTTTGGCATGGAGCAGTTGTCCTAGAGAACAGGCCTTGGAAAGTGTTGCTCTGGCTGTGTGATTAACTAATCATACCAGACTGAAAGAAAAGGCTTCAGTCCAAGTAAGTATCATGGGAGGCCAAACAATTCCTTCCAAAATAAAGCCGAACATTATTCAAACTCCTTAAATCTTAATTATTTTTGTTCAGGGAGATAGGGCCTAGAGACTTTAATATTGAAAAAACTCTGGATTAATAAATTGAACTCTGGGAATTTTATTCTTAAATTAAAACAAAAAGTATGTCTTTGAAAGTACTTACTTCCGCATTAGAATTGGTGAAGTCAGTGGTTAAACATTCACATGTTATTGAGTGTGTGGGAAGACATTAAACCATAAAACAAAAACAAAAACAAAAACAATGTTAACAAACTTAAAAGGCAAGCACCTGATGTAAAACCTTGAAAATGAGGGGAAAAAAAAAATCACAGCTCTAGAACCATTGCAATTCCTGCTTCTCTTTTTTTTTCCTTGAATTTTGTCCTAAAAGTTTTTTCTTATGTATTTTCAAATTGGTTTGCTTTTCATATCATCCTAACTAGTCATTAACTAATAAGTCATTAGCATGACTTATTAACATCAACTGGATTCAAAAAACAGCCTTCAAATTTCCAGGTACAATTTGTGTATAATTTTCTAAAATCACTAGAAGGCCAGTTTTGGCCTATTCACTATGACTTACGGCAGATAAATCCAGAAAGAACTAATAATGGTACAGAAAAATGTGATTTACAGAAAGTAATGTGATTTCTTGTGTTAAAAATATCTGTATTCCCAGAAAAGGAAAACACAATTATAAATCCACTTCAGTGATTCTTAGCTTGCAGAAATTTCAGAGACCATTGATCTAACTCACTGGTCCTTACAGAGGAGAAAACTGACGCCCACACGGACTGTGTCCATGACATCAGAGTCACGTAGGTAGGAAATGGGACCAGAGGCACAACCTATCTTAGCTTGTGTCTTGCCCATTACATGTACAGACAGCTGCATGTCTTACAAGAATTTTTCTAGTTGGCTTGTTTTTTACTAGTTTTAATTAGTTAAACCAATTATAAGCTCATCAAAATTAGATTAGTTTAAAGGTTGATGAAATTATTTGATGGCAAAAAATAAAAGTTTTGTTAGGATGTTTATGGGTTGTTGTGTGACCCATCTTCTCTATGAATGATACATGCTGGTTTGATGAGCTCAGAAATAGGCTTAGAAGCTTCCTAATTGAGCTAAGCATTCTCCATACAGGAAGGTCAATTGCACAGAATTTGTATCTTACTGGTCCCTAAAGGTATAATATGTTGGACATCCCAGTTTTATTCTCAAAGCAATAGCAGTTAAGCCTTTAGAAGACAGCAAAGAAAAGTCAACTGACTCTATTACTTAAAAGCTACATGAAGGAGAGCGAGTTTTACCATGCTGTTTGTAGATGGGTGGTTTTCGATAAATGTTGATCCCTTGATCTGTGGAAATGAAAAGCAAAGTTGTGTGATTATGAGAATCAATTCAGTGACGAGTAAACAGATCAACCAAGGGGCAAACCAAACTGAAGATTCTCGAACAAAAATAACCCAGAAGGCTTTTTGTATTACAAAGATTGAGTTCCTTGGAATTAAAAATTACAGGAATGAGTGAATTACTATAGCCAAGTGATATGGAAGTCTTTGTAATACATCTTAGCGTACAGAGAGATGTTACTTATTCATGAGCCATTTATTTCAAATACATACTTCACTGAAAGTAGGATTAAAACAGGAAGAAATACAAGCAGTGGAGACATTGACATTGAGAAAGACATAATCAGTTTTGGGGGAAAAAATCCCCAAATTGCTACTGTCTAGAAATTGAACTTCCAGTAGATACAGATAGCTCAATTTACTGTTTTGATTAATGAGAAGAACAGCGGAAAGCAATGGAGGAAAATTGAGAGTACAAACAGTAACACAGAAACACTTTTTATGTGCAACAGTAGCCCTGTGTGTTCATGAGATGTTCAACAAAGATCTAATTTGTATAGCCCAAATTAAAACAAAAGAAGGAAAAAAAGAGAGATGCTAACTACTACTTAAATATTTAGATTACTCATATGTTCATTTGATTATGCCACTATTTCACTTTCAAATACTCAGGACATTTCAAAGGCTTCTGTTTCCCCAGAATCCTGGACACTGTATCTTGGGTGGGGCATTGTTCGTGTGAAAAATCCCAAATGTAGAACAATGACTTTGAAGATTCAATGAAACTTCCTGAAAAAGGGCAGTCCTAGCTTAGTGATTCCAATGTCATTGAACTTTCTTGTTTTCCTAGGTAAATTTAGAATGCAAAAGACAAAATTAATATGGATTCCAAATATGTATCCTTACATTGACATATTGGGTCATATTAAACATTATTAAAATGTTTTCAGTAGCTAAAAGAAGCAAAACAATGTACTTCTGGTAGAAAAGTAATGTCATGACCTCAGGTGGCCGATGGTGCCCTTACAAATTGAGCTGATCCTAAATAGTAAGATATTGATGGGTTCTGGTTTTTCCAGTTTCTGATGGCAAATTATTATTCATGCTGTGACAGCAAATGCTAGTGACTACTACTAGAGCAAAGCGGCAGCACCAAGCCTAAATTGCAAGAGATCTTTGTGGCCTGAGGAGATGACTTGTCAGTTACACACTGCAGGAAGACCACTCAGCTGACCCAACGCTACACCTCTCTGAAAGTCTGTGGAAAAAAATCTCCATGCTGGAGGAAATATAAAAGTATTCTCAGGTGACAGTGTGGTTCAATGTTAAGGATGAGAAAAATAACTAGGCTGCCATGGTGATAATTAATTTATGACACTGCACCATAGAATGACATCTTACCAGGCACTGATATAAATATAAAATTAATGAAAAAAACCAAACAACTCAGTCCCTCTTGCTTACCCTCTGTCTCCCGCCTTCTTCAAAAACAATTCAAGGGCTGGGGATGTGGCTTAGTGGCTGAGCACTTGCCTGGCACGCAGTTTAGTAACAAGAGTGCTTGCCTGGCACCTTGATTTGATTCCCAGCTTAATCTTCAATGTGATCTTGGCACTTCACATACAGAACTTGTGAAAGGCCCTTTGAGTCAGATCCCGCAATTTAGGGTTTATCAGTCATGTGCGCCTCAATTAACAAGCATGAGAAATGGAGACGAGACGAAGTTACAAGGCTACATTCTACACTGTGACAGGACACCGAGACAGACCGTGTCAGCTCCTACCTGGAACATGGAAATGTTTAGGGGCCTGAGCGTAAGTTGGAGTTAGAGGGCGGCTGTCGGGCCGGTAAGGGAGAGGGGAGTTCCGGCCGCTGGACGGCTCGTGGCCTCCAATGAGAAGAACGGAGAAAACAAAATGAGAGAGGGGAAGGGCAATAAAGAAAACCAGGCAAATGTAATCAAAATTCAACACGACAAACTGCAAGGAGGGACATCAGGAAGGAGAAACAAAGGAAACAAACTCAATTTTGTCAAGTTGGTTTGCAAAGGTGATATCAGGTTTAGTTTTCCAAGGGAGAGATCTAAGGTTCAAAAAGCAGCTAGCAGGCAGATGCGTCATTCCAATGGCAGGACCATGTGAGCATGGGGTAAACTGATTAGATGGCAAGTATGCTGGGAAGAATGGAACAGCACTGGCTACTGATTCAGGATCAGTTGTCAGATGGTTACATCCCAAGCATGTAGGGGTAGGTGCAACTCCTCCCCTCCCCAGGGACAATTGCTTCCAGGCACGATGGCAGAGGCTGGCCATTAGGATGCAGTTTTCTGAGCTGAGAGCTAAGTCTGGGAGCCCAAGTGGTCACCCAGTCCTGCCCCTCAGGAATACAAAGTGCCTTCATTGCAGCATATGCTTCTGTTTTCCTCATTCTGAAATATACAAAATGGAGCCAGACCCCTTCTTGCAGGTACTCAGGGACCACTGAGACCTCTCACCACCACAAGGTGGGACTCCACCTCAGATAATGTTTCAATCACTAACACATTTACTGAACACTCTCTCTCCAGCGAGGCACTGGGCTAGTACTGAGGACAAGCAGGGCAATGAGATATAGTCTCTGCCCTCCAGGGCCTCAGAGTGTACCATCCTGGTATTGTGTGTGTTACCCACCATATAACTGCTTATTCTGAGGTGTAATAAAAATGCTAGGAAATCAGATGCAAGTGCCATGGATTGTTCAGGAAAGTTTCCTTTGGCTGGTATCAAGGAGGAAGCCCTGCAGGTGAGTGGGAAGGTCATATTCTGGAGGGCTGCAGCTCCACAGGCAAGGAAGGTATGGCAGAGCCATGACACAAGGGAGCTACTGGACTGTCTACCATCCTGGACAGAATGGTGCTTTTGGAGGAGGCAATAAGGGGTGAGGCTGGAATGGAGGGCAAAGCCTCATGTGCCATCAGGGCTGCCATCATTCCTAGGACAATGGCAGGGATGTACAGAGGCTTGCAAAATAAACTGGAAAGAGATTAGCTATTGTCCTAATCTGTCTTCCTACCCCAGGTCTGGGCAAACATTATTGTCCCAATATCCTATCAGAAGATGTAGGGCCATCAAAAGTTAATGAGCTAGTAGTGGCTAATTACTTTTACTATTGAGTTGTAAGGATTCTTTATATATTCTGGGTACATATTCCTTGTTAGTCCTATGATTTGTAAATGTTTTCCCCATTTTGCAGGTTGTTTTTTCACTTTCGTGATAGTAGCCTTTAATGTCCAATTTATCTACCAATGCTAATAATTTTAAGGAAATCATAAGTTCGCAGAAAATAGAGCTCAAGCCAACTTCTTCAAGCTAAACTATTCTAAATCTTGCCAGCAAAGTGTAAAAGAAGTTAACTGCTAGAGTTTTAAAACACATTGAAGAGTTTTATTTTCTTAGTATGCACATTTTTAGATAACCAGAGACCAGATGTGTACCAAACAGGAAGTAAGATATTACAAATAAGAATTCTGAGTTTGCTATTGCCTCAAATTTAGATCCAGGCTTTTGGTTACTGCTGATCTGAAACTTTTGTTTTTTCCTCAAGACTCAGTTTTGTATTCAGTTCCTACATGTTGATTTGATCATTTGCCAGATATTAGTGTTTAAAAATTATGAAGTATCACCCCAGATTACTTCTCTATTGAAAAGCTAATTTATAAAAATGTGATCTCATTAATCTCATTCTCCCAAAGAGCAATACTAGTTCACGTCTGAAAAAAATGGGTACAAAAAACATAGAGGTGAGGACAAGGGTGATTATCATTTGCATTTAGAAAGAAATACTATGTTAAACCTATGATTGATTCAGGACTGGGTGTCATTCATCCTCATCAGTGCTCAGTCCATTGTCTGGCCAAGAGTAAGAGTTTAATAAGTACCTGTGAATGAAGGACTGGAATAGGCCAACTCATTAACTTCACATCTGCCTAACTTAACACGCCTCATTACAGGGCTACTCTCATCTCCCTCTCATTGCTTAACCAAAGGAAGCCCATGTAGGTACACAGTGATGGAACCACACAGCACCCCCTCACAACTCTCCCATTCTACTTGAGCCCCATAACTCCAATTTAATTGTTTTACTTTGAAAAATCCCTGAATCCTACAAACATTAGAAAACTATTAACAAGAGGAACCCACAATTGAAAAACAATGATTCTTAGGGGTTTTCTCAAAAAGAAGCATACTTTCTTGCTTTATTTGAACTTGTCTTTTGAAGACTATGTGTATGTTGAGCACTGGCCACTGAGCCTGAACCACAATGCTCCCTGCCCTTAATCCTTCCCCTCTAACCCTGGTGTTCTTTCAGAACATCAGCTAATTCAGGGAGGTGTTCTCACAGGTTTTGGTTATAATAATCAATCTGATGAAAACACATTTTATGAGTTTTGATCATTATTAGTCAAGAAATCTGTTTTGATCATTATTTGCCAGTATCTCTCTCTCTCTCTGTCTCTCTCACACATGCACACACACACACACACACACACACACAGAGGCATATGTGGGGTATAAAGGTTGTTAGAATTAGGTACTAGTAAGTATTAAAAGATCCTCTGTAGTAGAACCCCCCTTCTTGGATAAGGATGAAGGTTTTAGAAAGCTCTTGGAGGAGCTACTTGAATTCCCAGTGGGTGGATTCTGACTGAGTGCTGTTCCACTTTGGTGCATTGTTTATTAGGTTGTATTTCTTCAGCAAGAAGTTGTCAATGGATCTCTCTAGTGTGGTTTTTATTTTATTTTTCTAAGCCACTAGGATATTCAAGTTCTGAAGTAGATTTAACTACTTCAGTGACTCATGCAGCACAGGCGCTTGGCGGGAAATGTGTCCAGATCGATAATATTGCTAAGTACCAAATTCTTAGCCCTGAAATACCAAAGGCAAGAAAAACTTGGGGCCATCTTTTCAAAGAAAAAGAATTCTCCAGATAAGGCCTCTTTTCCTGTTTGTTTGTTTGTTTGTTTGTT